GACCAATCAGAGCTGTCTTTGTGCAGGAGCAGAGGCCTGGGGCTAGACAGTGGAGAGGTCTGTGGGAAGTTCCTCGGTGTGTGGAGGGAATCCTCCAGGCTCAGGGCAGGAGTTACTGCATGGTTTAAAATATCCCAATTGTTTAATAATTAGTAGGGCCATCTTAGCTCTCTGTTTCTTCCTTTCACAGCCCTCGTCCACTCCACGCCTCGAGACCAGGAGTTGGTATCCCTTGACCACTGACTTAATGTCTCTGAAATTTTCATTTTGCTCTTAGGGATTTTGTTTGACTTTAAGATTGATGTGTGTGCACTACTCAAAATGAAAGAAGTACTCTGATTTACCAATGGCTGACTTCTTCCCAGTTTCCTGGCTCACAACCTCCACAGGTGTCCTTAGACACAAGAATTGAGGGCACGAGTGGGGGCACTAAGTCAACCAGTCACTAAGTCCTGTTCATGACTCACTGCTGATGTTTGCTTTTCCTTGGCCACAACACTGGTTTGGTCATTGTCATCTCACACCTGGATGACTGCAGGAATCTCCTCAATGGGCCCCCTCCCTCCTTTCTTCTCTGCCCTATAACCGATCATAGCACAAGCTGATTAATTTGTGCACAGCACTATTTTTCATAGATTGCTACTATACTACATTACATCTCAAATGCCCAGAGAATATTTGAGCCAATTCACCTGGCAAACATGATCACCACAACCTCATGTAAACCCAGATGGGCCACATCTTCCTCCATAGCACTTGGATACAGGGCAGGCTGACTTGCTTACAAGCTTATAGTGTACCTTCCTTTGTAAAATATGCCATACATATTAATAATAACTACTGTTTGAGTGGATTGCTATCTCTCAGCTTCTTCTATACTACTCTTTCCTTTTTGAGTCTTACCTTACATCGTAACAATGATTACTATCATTTATCAAGTCCAAGCATTAGGCTCAGCACAGTGGACACACTAAGCTCATTTAATTCTTCCAACCCTTTATTGTTAGAGCTACATTATCCCCACTTTACAGGTGAAGACACTGGGTTTGGGTAAATGAAAGAACATATGCAGGTCTCACAGTAGGTAGTTGAGTCTGCTGCCAAAGTCTGAACTCCTCACCTCTAGAGCATGCTGCCTCTTTTCTTTCCCAGCGATACATCTTTCTTCAGAATATACTGCGTTTCCCTCCTCAGATACTCCTCTGCCCCTGCCTCGCAGGTCTTTCTACAGAACTGTTGTGGATTTCCAGCACAGCATGGTAATGAGTGCATGGACTGAAGTCAGACTGTCTGAGCTAGATCCCTGATTCTTTTACTTGCTAGCTGTGTGTGTCTCGGGCACTTTACTTAGAATTGTGTCCCTTCCTCTAAAAAAAACAGGGATTAGAATAGCAGCTGAGGTATAAGATGATTGGAACAACTAAATGAGTTAATCTTTATAGAGCACTGAGCACTGAGCACACTCAGTAATTATTGCCTGTTACAAAATTTTCCAATGCCTGAGCCTTTCCTCCCATTAAGAGTATAAGCTTAAAGGAAAGGATTGTTTGTCTTTTTAATTTGATAGCAAGTCTCTCCTATGGAGATTCCTGCACTATTCTGTGATTTAAAATTTTTTACTGTTGTATTACCTTTAAGAAATAGGCAATGTTCTAATTATTTTAACCATCACAACCAGAGTCATACAATGTGGGCTGAAATGCTGAGCTGGTAACAAACTCGTGAATTCACAATGTACCCATGGCCAACACATGCTTTTCACCCAACAAGCCTTTCTTGCAGAATCTATGCCCAAACTCACAGGCATGGGGGGTTAGGAGGACTCAGAGAAGCGGAGAGGGACCTCCCAGTGCCTTTGTAGAGGAGGCAACAATTACACTAATGAACTTAAATTATATCAAGAAATGTCGGGGTGGAGAGGTTCTAGGGCCACATTTTATGACTCAAAAGCAGCCCTGATTTATTGTCTATCCATATTTAGGTCAATAGAGAAAGTGGCAGATCAGCAAAGCATAATTAGTATTTCTTTCCCCTTTTTTTTCTTGGAATCAGGACAAAACGTGTTAAAGCAACACTGCGTAAAATCTATAACCTCCCACGGTCACTTGGCCCTGGGAGAGCACATCCTGTTTACCTAGAACATTTCATCTGATTTTGTAAAATCTGCAAGTCACAGGAGCCACAGTATCTGCAGTGAAGTCCGGGGGGGGGGGGGGGGGTTGTTTCAATCTAAACGCGAAAGGCGGGGCGCTGGCTGGGAGCTGGGAAACTCTCATAGGCAGCTGTGAACTCCTCACTCTCAGCAGCAGAACCCTCTACATCAGTGGTTCTTAACTTTTCAAATGCCACGACCCTTTAATACAGTTCCTCATGTTGTGGTGACCCCAACCACAGATTGAGAACCACTGCTGTAGAGCCTAAGACCATCTGAAAACACAGATATTTACATTATGATTCATAACAGTAGCAAAATTACAGTTATGAGGTAGCAATGAAAATAATTTTATGATTGGGGGTCACCACAACATGGGGAACTCTATTAAAGGGCCTCGGCATTAGAAAGGTTGAGAGCCACTGCTCTCCATGATGCTCTCAGTGGTGGGCACTTCTGGCCCAACTTGCAGGCACAGGAATGGGGATTGTTTTTGCTGCCCAGGTTAGCCATTTTCTCTCCCACAGTTAGGACTCAGGGATTCTCAACCCTAGCTGCGTAAATGAATCACTTCAGAGAGCAAAATACATAATAATTCCATTTCCATGCCCATGCCCTCTCCCCAGAGATTCTGATTCAGTTGCTCCTGGGAGGTGTTGGGTCATTGTTCTTTTTGGCGGGTGAGGTGGGGTGGGGGTTAGGTTTCTGCAGAGATACGACTAGATAGCAGGTGTTAACATTGGCTCAAGCCTGGACCACACAATAGCTTGATCTAGTTACAGTTCCCAGCAAAACTGGAGTCCGTGTTGCTACAAAGCTGCCAGAATTCTATCACTTTAATTCTCTGTCCTACCTGATTTTTATTCTCCTATCGCTGACCAAAGCCAAACAGCTGGGTTTCTTTTCATCTTAGGGCCCCAAAAAGATTCCTTGTATGTTCCCGGGCAAACAGCCTCTGATCATCTCTTTTTTTAGTCCATAAAATGGGAACAAGATACCTGCTGCACCTGTGACATGGTGAGAGAAGGGGAAGTCTTGGTCTGGGGTGGATCTATCCAGTAAGGAGGAGTGATCAATCCTATTAGCCAGGGATGGGGAGAAGCATCAAGGCAGGATGGTCAAGAAGGCAGCACCAATTGTCCCAAATCAGCAAGGACAATGACTCTCGAGTTTGGAGTGGAGAAACATTGATAAAAACAAGAAAATACCAAATAGCAACTGTTAAGTATTTTGCGATTATTCTTGGATTTGACATTGCTTATTTGTACTTTCTTTCCATGAGCCACATGGGCTTGCTAACAGTGACTGTTTTTCTTATTCATGTGTCTCATAATATTGTAAGGGGGAAATAAGGGATCAATGGCCACCATTTTTTTAAACAGAAGGCTGAAAGAGATTAAAATAAACCCCTGTTAAACACAGTTATTATCCATGAAATGAAAAATTGAGTGTCTCCCACACTCACCTATATTCCCTGAGCCAACCATGTAATCTAGGGGTCATTCTGTTCTCCAGCTAATTTTCCTTTCTTTGCTTTTCTCCCCCTTTCATTGCCAGGACAAGGCTGCCTTTGATAGTCTTCAAGAAAAAAAACCTCAAGTTTGCAAATATAGAGTTTAATCCATGGGAAGTTGTTTTTAATATCATCAATTGCTAAAGCCAAAGCCGACAAAAAAATAGTAATGGTAAAAGTGACTAAAACTCTTTCAAACTTTTTTAAGTGTTAAAAGAGATGTTTACACTCCCCATGTATTATTTTATGTTTCCAGTGGGAAGATGTTTTTAAGTATCAATACATGGATTTGACAAAGAAAATTTACTGAACATTTGTGTGCCCTGGCTTGTTCTAAGAGTAAGGAAGGGAGAAAATAAGTCTTCTAACTAGTAAGATACATGGCAAACTATTGATAATCTAATTCGGGAGAAGGGAAGAAACAATGCATATTGGGGGTTGGAAATATTCTGTAACAGTACAAATATTCATGTAGTAGGTGTATAATTCAAAACAAATGACCAAAACTTTTATGTCAGAAAAAACTGAGCTGCAATAGTGGCGTGACCTGGCTTTCTACAGTATATAACAAGGTTCAAGCAACCACATGTCAGAGAACTTTTCCTCCCTGCTCGAATGCTCCAGGCAAGTCTGCCAGCTCTTAATCCCAGCACTCTGCCTGACTTCCTTCCCAGGCCTGCCTGCAAACCCCTGTCCCCTCAGTCAATGGGTGGGCGGTAGCACTTACTCTTAACATTTCAGAGATCACCCTTGTCCGGACTGAGCTGACAGAATGTCCATGCTCTGGCTACACACGGCTGCAGCTGCTGCCTTGGTCAGCACAACCACAACATGGCTGCCCAGCCATGGACACGCTCAGTACTGATTCATTAATGCCCTGGCCTTTATGGTATTTTCTAGAGCAGAGACAGGAAATTTAATTAACCAAAAAAGAGGTGATGGGGAAGAGAATTCCATTATAGAGAAAATCCTGAAAAGATCCCAGCTAATTGTCTGATACTCAGTCTCCCTAAGCCCAGTTTCAACTTAATTGACGGGCTGTACCATGCTCTTGACCACATATGCTTTATGCTCCCAACATACATGCCACAGCTATGCATGCCACATGTATATACATGCCACAGCTGTGCATACCAAACATACATGCCACAGCTGTACATATCCAATGTACATGCCACAGCTGCACATACCCAACATACACGCCACAAGCTGCACATATCCTACAAAAGAGAAAATTAGGCAAAGAGATTCATAGCTGGAAGATGCCTTAAGAGGAATGTCACTTAGGTCTTGCTGCAAAGGGAGACAGACCCCAGAAGGAGAAATGCCTGTTACCTGTCCAGCACCGAAGTCCCCAGACCCGCTCCTGCTGCACCAGACGCCTCAACGCTTCCCGGTTTCCACTAGGAGGCCATCTGCCCTTCGGCCGCCTCGAAGGCCTCACGGCTGAAGAAAGAGCCGAACAGGACTCATTGCGAGGCTCAGGCAGCTGCCTCCAAGCTCAGCGTCCCTCCTGCCGGTGCCTCCCTGCCCTGGGCTCCGAGCTTCACAGAGCCATTCCGCAGAGCCTGCTGCTGTTTCAAAAACAAGTAATTTCCTGGTCCCCTTCCCCGGATGGCGTGCGCGATTTCCCTCACGCCCATAGGAAGTCCTTCAGATCCTTCTTATCTGGAAACCTCACCGCCGAGTGGCCAGGCTTGTTTGGCCAATGCCCCCAGCTCTTGTTTTCCTTTCTCCAAAGAAAAAAAGTCAGAAAACTGAAACCAAAGCAAACCCAAATGGGTTGGAGCTAATGACGGGTGTAGGATGTCCTGGTTTAAACCTCGGAAAGATGTTCACTGTGATTTCAGAGGGGAAAAAAAATTAAAATTATCGATGATTTCCTTCCCCGGCAGTGCCTAAAAGTTAGAGAATGAGAAGACTTGAGGAAATTCAGTCCCCTCCCAGAGCTTCAGGGTCAGGAACTTCCAAAATACTGCAAGAAGGGACAGCTGGTTCTTCCAGATTTCCAGGGAAGCTCTACGAAAATTTGTGCCTCAAAGTTTAAACTCTGTGACACTTCAAATATCATTTTGATAACATGACTATACAAAGAGAAGAAGATCCACAGAAAAGGGCCAGTCGGCTGGCTGTAATCAGGTTGTTGGGTTTAAAGATGAGTTCTAATCAGTTTTTGATCTAGAAGTGACCTACCCATCCTGAATTTACACGTGAGGCAAATGAGGCCCAATGGGAAACAAGGGTTTGTCCAAGGTCTGATCAGGGAAATAGATTATCACCCACCCATCTTCAGCTTTAGCACTGGGAATGCTGCTCAGCTGCCTGCCCATGAGCCTTGGGCACAGATGGCTTGCTGAATGAGGCCTGGCCTGGAGCAGGGAATTTGCATTGCAAGGAAATGCTCCAGGTGAGCCTGATGTAGGTAATCCCAGACCGTAGGTAGAGAAACCAGTGTAGTGTCAAAGCAAGGACACCGGAGTCAGACTGCAGAGAGTCAAGCCATAGTCCCACCAACTTCTCCTCACTGAGACTCAGTTTTATTATGTATGCAAGTGGGTAATAATACTGCTGAGCACCAGCGAGAGCCTGAGACAGAGGAGGGGCTCAAGAACTGTCCATTACTATCTGGAGAGCTGGGATCTAGTCTTCTAAGCTCATACGTCTTCCCTGCTGTACACAGTCTGTCACCCCCTCGCCTTGCCTGTCTTCCCTCCTGGCTGTCAGCCACCACCAAAGGAACTCAGGCTTGAGACACAAGTTTATTTCGAGAAAAGGAGAATGAACCTTTGAAATATCATTCCTTTATTTCTTGGCACTGATTCTCAATTGTATTCTCCAGACTACTCCCTGCAGTCTCCTGGGAGGGAGACTATGGTGCCTGTCCACCCACAGCTGACCCTCTTCGCTGGGGAACTCACACATAACTAGTAGGTGAGCTCAGGGAGTGAATGGAGATTGGTCTAAGCAAGATGACCTCATTCTCCTTGGGGAGGTTGGATATTTGGCTGATCGTGGAATCACATTTACCTCTGCATTTATTGATAGTGGCATAATAAAGGTTCTTGTTATTATTCTGGCTCTAATTGCGTTTTCTGATTTTTGTAGCTAAAAGCCATTATAATAAAGTGGTGAATCACTATTAAAAAATAAATCTTTTGATTCCATATAAAATACTAACCTAGACCTAAGTAACATGGGGAAAATCAAAACGTATACAGAACCAAATGACTTAAATCATATTCTAAAATATTCCAACTCAACTTCTTATGCTAAATATGTGTGGCATTGACTTATTCTATAGAAATGGACTAAAATACTCCAGATTTTTTCTTATACTAAAAATCTTTAATATGAAATGTAAGTCCTGGAAAATCCCCTGGGTCTTAAAAACCCAGAATAGCCAGAGCTTAAAAGTAGCCCAAAACTCCACATCTGCCAAATAGTAGCTCCTAGAAAATTCAGATTATTGAATCTTTCTGGGCCTCAGTTTCCTTTTCTGTAAAATAATATTACCTACTTTGGGTTGTTGTCAAGATTAAATATCCATAAAAATGCTTAGAACAGGGTATGGCACATAGTGATCAAGTGTGTTAGCTACTGTTATTTTTGCAGGGAAGAAATTTCTGTTGTAATAATAGTAGCATATGGTTTGGGTATTGTCTTTGCCTTTGCTTTATGCTAGCTTTGCCTCAGGTGCAACGTGGATTGATCTGCCCTTTCCAGATGCTTCCGAAATATATCCTATTGTCTCTGTCGTGAGATTTGGCTCCTCTGAGAGTAAGCTGAGTGGCTTGGTATAAATGTAGATACCTGATGGCAGCTGTGTTGGGGAAGAATGAAGAAAACATAGGAGGACACTGGGCATGGACACGATGGGAAAGGACACAAAGAGAACTCAGCAGGCTGACAGGTTTGGGAAGTAAATGTCTGGGGGCAGAGTTCGCCTAGAGCTGGAGAAAGGGAGGCTGCAGACCTTGATATTTACAAAAAAAAAGGTACACAATGTGGGGGCAATTGACTTGGACATTTCTTGTCTTAGCAAACACCTGCTGTCAGAGCAAGCTGCAGGTAAGGGGGCTTCTTTTCCAACTTCTCTTTCACACACACACACACACACACACACACACACACACACACCCAGGCTTGCATTGGGTTGTCAGTAGCAGTTGGCTCTCTGACATGGAAAGGGGCGTCGTCCAAGTGGCTGTCCAGGCACTTCCCCTAGGAGCAATTCCTCTCTCACCCACAGTCCGTTTGTTGCTAGGAACACTCTGTGCTTGTCACACTCACTTTACAATGAAAACAAAGACAAATAAATGGAACCACCATATGGCCTCAGCTGCAACCCAGGATTAACTGCTGATGGGGAGACTTTGCCCCGCTGCAGCTACAGATGTGTGGTCTGTGACAGGAGCCCTGCCCTTCTCCTGCATTTTAAGATATTGAAGCTGGTTGCAAGTTGACCCCAGACTTCAACGGACGCAGCGGTGTAGACAGAGTAACTAACTTTCCCGCTGTGTTATCTATGTTTGTGTTCGTATAAAGTGTCTCTTAGCACTTGAGGGCCTAACCTCATTAGAGACAGAGCTATTTTCAGAGGCAGAGATGTCGGCACCAAATAAGTGTGTATTTCTCAGCATGTTCCAGGCTGTCTCGCCCTTCTGCCCTTTCTCCTTTGTCACTCCGCTCACTTTTGGTGACACTTTAAGCTACAGGTGTTATGTCTTCCAAAGACCCTCGTAGCCCTTCCAGCCTGGGCCAAGAGTTCCGTCTCCCTGGTCCCACACTACCAGGTGCGTCTTTTGCAGTCACCACACTGCATTGAGATGTCTCTTTTCCTGCATTGACTGTAAGCTCCTTGATGGCAGGGGCTGATCTCATTTATTGTTTGCCCAGCTCCTAGCATAGTGCCGGCATTTTGCAGTTCATCAACAAAAGCAGACAACATGAAACTGATTAGTCTCACTCCATTGCTGATTTCCTCTCAACATTACAATGCACTGTGGTTCAGTCATTGGGACTCTTCTCTGTTGATGCTTATTCCCAAGGTGATGTCCACGAATTTCAGGATTTAAATCAGTGAATTTCAACCTTTTTCATCTCATGGCACACATAAACTAATTATTTAAATTCTTTAACACACAAAAAAATGTTACATTTTTTGCCAATCTGATAAAAAAAAAATAGGTATAATTTTGATTCATTCACACCAGGTGGCTATTGTTGTGTTGGCTGTTGTCATATTTCTTATTTGATAATCTAAGGGAAAAGAGGTCAGGTATTGCATGTTTTAAAAGTTCTTGCAGCACACCGGTTGAAAATTGCTGGTTTAAATCCTTGGGCTGATGGCCTCCATATGTGTATCTTTATCAGGGATATTTCACCTGAATTCCTGACCCATATATCCAACTGCCTACTTAATATCCCCATTTAGATGCTGGGTAGGATCGCACAGTGAACATGCCCAAAGCTAAACTTCTGAGTTTTCCCTCCCAAACTAACTATCCCAATAGTTTCTTCCATCTTAGTAAAGGGTATCTTCATCCTTCTACTTAACTCAGACCAAAACCCTAAGAGTCATCCTTGAGTCTTCCCTTGCACACCTAATGTTTACTTTTCCATCAAGTCCTGTCAACTCTACCTTCAAAATACATGCATAGTTAAGCAGCTCTTACCTCTTCCACTGCTATCATTCTCGTTCAAGCCATCACTGTCTCTTGATTGGATATTATTGCTTCTACTTGGTCTCAGTGCAAGACTGCAGTTAGATGGTCCTCATAAAACATATGCTATATAATATCCATCACCTATGCCCAACCCTCAGGCACTCCCATTTCACACAGTCAAGGTGAAAGTCCTTTCAATGGCCTGTAAACCCTGCACCACCCCATCAGCATCCCTGCTCCTCCCACCATTTATTTCCTCTTTTACTTCTCTTCCCATCACTCACATTGCTCCAGCATGCCGACCTCCTTGTGAGCCAGATACAATTCCAGCTCAGAGTCTTCCTATTTTGCTCTTCTCTCTGGAATTATCTTTGTCCAGATACCCTCATGTCTCTCTCCCCATTCCCTTCCCATCTTTGTCCAATCATTATTTTCTTAGTAAAGACTTAGCTGACTGCCATATTTCACATTTCAGCTCTCCCACTCCTATTTCCCTGATTATTTTTTTCCATATTATATACCACTTCTAACATACGATAATGTACTTATTAATTTTGTTTATTGGCTGTCTCCACCTTCCATCCCCAACTAGAATGTAAGCTCTCTGAGGGCAGAGATGCCTGTTTCATTCACTAAAGAAGAATATTTGGAAGTGTAACACACAAGCAAAGTTACTAATGCCAAAGCATTAGTATATACATAGCAGAAGTATATGCAAAAGTATACAACACTTCACCTTTTGAAGCACCCTGATCTCCATGTATTGGCAGATTAAGTCTTGGTTTGTTTTTTTAATTTACAACAAGATGTTGGTAACCCTTTTGACTTAGTATGGCCCAGGGACAGCTCTTGTTTGGCATTTCTATTTCGCGGCCAGCAACATTGCCCTCTGGCACTAACCTGTCTTTATGCAAGGAAGGAACCAAAAAATAATTGGGCAGTTTTATAGTATACAAATGGTCTTGTTCTTATCTTTTGTGTG